CATGGTCACCCCTCAGCCTCCGACACTCCAGGGTAAAAAGCCCCAGCCTATTCAGCCTTTCCCCATAGCTCAAACCCTCCCATCCTGGCAACATCCTTACAAATCTTTTGAGACCAAAATTAAAAGGCATTATTCCAGAAGTGGCTTCACCAAAACCTCTTATTTTTCAGAATGTTTCTCAGAACATCACCCTGTGAAGGATACAGATGCTCTTCGGCTGAGCTGGTGATACATAGATGTGGTGCAGAGGTGCGCAAAGTGTTAACTGCACCTCAGTTATCGTCCATGGGGAGATGAGATGCTTCAAGGTCACTACTGGTGACTCAATTGACTTACAGCCAGTTTTGAGCTACAAGCCTATACCATGCTTGTGGTGGTCTCAGCACCTTTTCCATGCAGTCAGCTCAATTAGTATCACAAATATTGCCTACGACAACTAACCTGGTTTCTTATAAAACAGTGACTGGAAAAACTACAGATGCTGGAGTCAGAGATAACTCCGTGTAGAGCTGGAGGAACACAGCAGGACAGGCCGCAGAGGAGCAGGAAGGTTGATGTTTCGGGTCGGACCCTTCTTCAGATTTTCTGAAGAGTCCTGAGCTGAAATGTCAACTTACCTGCTTCTCCGATGCTGCCTAGCCTGCTGTGTTCCTCCAGTTCCACACTGTGTTACCTCTTCTTATGAAACAGTGATGTTGACACTGAAGAAGGGTCTAGACCCGAAACGTCAGTTTTCCAGCTCCTCTGATGCTGCTTGGCTTGCTGTGTTCATCCAGCTCTACACCTTGTTATCTCTGTTGACACAAAAGTTGCGTAGCTCATGGTCAGTCAGGACCATTTTACATACACTTGCTGGAGAATGTGGGTTGTCATTCATACCAGGTCCTCTCATTCCAGTTTCCAAGTGTAGCCTAGACATGGTTTTAGAAAGCCCAGATTCCCATAACATCTGTACCCAGCCCTTCGCCTCATCGACTGATATCCCGAGGAAAGACAAAAGCCTAAACGTCTGGAGCTGAGTTGGCTGCAGCAACTGGTGGAATGTGCTAACTTGAAGGAAAACAAACTGCCTGACCAGGACTCCACTGCAGATTTTGAATTTGTTTACTCCCATAGCCACTATCACTTGGTGTTAATGTAGAAGTACAATCAAGGGTCCAGATCAAAGACATAGATGTGATCTTGTTCTCCAGATGTGCCATTCCCTGGCCCTCCAGGGATACTCTGCCCCTTCATCCTATGGCTGCCAATGAAACAACCTAGCCAAAAATTCCCCTTAATAGAACACCCATCTTGACAAAATAATAAGCCCTGAAGCAATTTAATTCCATCAGTAAAACCCCAACTCCATAAAAAAAACCTCAATAACAATCTCCCCTACAACTCCTGACTGCATCACTAAATTCCAAGTCTCATCACCAATACGAATCCATCTAAAACATTCATATTATGCCACATGAACAAACCTATCCCCAATGAAGCCTGCCACAGCACTAAAATCCAACAAATGCCTCACTACAGAAACAAAAGACTTTACATCACTGAAGTTCCTAAAAATAACTCACTACAGCAAAATCCCTCCAAAATAAAGGAATGATTCCTCACTATTAACTAAATATAGCTCATTCAGCACTAAACCATGTGGCCTCTGATTAAATCGATGATGCCTCTCAGTCACAAGTGGGTCCAGCTGGACACAGTGTCAGGAGCTTGGCATGCAAGAGGGAAGGGCCCCCGCTCAACTCCTAGGGCTAATACAACTCTCCCTTTCCAGAGATTTACCCAGTCCTGCAATCAGGCCTCACACCATGTCAGTCTAGACTGCACGACTGGTAAAAACCCCAAAGTCCCACACACTGCCTCGTTCTTTATGCATTGTTGGCATTAAAATGATACGTTTTATGACTATGTACTTGCCAATAAGGATTCCCAATAATCCTGTCCCAAGAATCATTACTGATCTAGGTTAGTCATTCAAAAATGACTGGAATAGGAGTAATAGCATGTTTCTTACCATGGCAATATAATCTAGCAAATATATTTGACTCTCACAGAGCACGAGCTATTCCGGAGATTTATTACATTAGCAAACCACCCACGTTAACTCCATTTATACTGAATTAGTTTTTCTGCCTCTTGAAAAGAAAATCAACATCAGGCTCAAATGCATGCAACTTCCTGGTAAGCTATTCTCGCACGCCAACTCATGAAATATACATTTTACTACAGGAAATGAAAGGAAGAGTCAGGGAGGAAGAACAGACAATAAAATATACTAAATATTAATTCTGACTATCCAATCAAGCACAACTCCAGAGATGTACTGGTGCATTATTTCATTCAGCCCGTCACAAGATTTGTTCTCGATTGATGGCTCTCAGGAGGACAATCAGGACATTCCAGCATGCTCACTATATCCTCTGTACTATTCAGTCCAGACTGCCTGCTAAAGTTTCAATCACGGAAGTCAGCCAAAGTACAATAAGCCCAAGCTGATGGAACCCGCAGCAAGTCTGGGTGGGCCAGAAGTTAATGGGTACATGCACGTTCCACAATTTACTGAGACAAAGTCAGAAGGTCAATGCACCACTGACATAATAACGTTTCTCCATTCTGACCAGAAAATTCACTTCTCTACTTTGAATTTCTCCAGAACATGTATCAAGGGAGCAGAAGATTCACCTACTTCCTCATTTGTCGATCATTTTTAGCTCAGTCACATCCACAGTGCAAAGTACAATTGTTATACACAAACTTCCCCAACTCTCCTGCACTGAAATGTCCAAACTCCTCCATGTTTATCCCCAATAACAAAAAAAAACCAAGATTCACAACATCTGAAGGCTCCAAAATGAAACCAGCTCCATCCCTTTATTGAACAGCATGTTGTTGCACTGACATGTCATGCCATTACATTACTCTGTATTTGATATAGAAAATATGAAAAAAACACTGAAGTTTGATGGGCTTCCCTCCTAAATAATTTATTTTCATGAACAATTTTGCAGTTTAACATAAACAATCCAGAAAAAGAAAATTACAAATAGTTTTTAAAGGTTTGTCTCTATGAGTTACAATTAATAAAATGCTTGAAGGAACCAAGTACATGGTTCTTACCATGAAATCTAGCATTAATTTAAAAATGACAAATTCAGAAAAAAAAGGAAGTTTCAGGGGTAGGTAAGGAATGCAACTTGAGTTACTTAATGTATAAATACACGAATGAAAAACAAAAGTAGGCAACTTGGCTCCTTGAGCCTGCTCTGTCCTTCAATAAGATCAATCTGATCTGACTGTGGCCTCAAAACCATTTTCCTGCCAATTCTTGATACTCCGACTTGTAGTCAAAAATCAGTTTCTGTGAATAATGTTCAATGACTCTGCTTCTACTGCTCTCTGGGAATGAGTTCCACACGCAAAAAACAAGTTTTCCTCATGGGAGACCTCTTAATTTTAATTTGTGTTCCCCAATCCTCGTCTCTTCCACTTAGGAACACCCACTCTGTCAAGTCCTCTCATGATCTTAATCGTTCCAATAAAATTTCTTCTCATTCTTCTAAATTCCATTGGAAATTTCCAACTGTCTTAAAACAAAATGCCCTCAACCAAGGATCTGTCAAGTGAACCAGGCCTGAATGCATTCTAACGCAAGCATGTCCTTTTGTAAATAAGGAGATCAAACTGTATACAAAACTCCAGATGTCGTCTCACCAATGTAGCAAAGCTTTCCTAATTTTATGTTCTATTCTCCACTGCAATAGATGGCAATTCCATTTGCTGTAGAGCTGCACGTGAACCCTTTTTCACTCGCTCGTGGGGCATGGGTGTCGCTGGCTGGCCAGCATCTATTCCCCATCCCTAGTTGCCCTTGATATGACATGCCATCTTGATAATTCCTTTGTATTTGATAGAGAAAGTATGAAAAAAGCAGTGAAGTTTGTTGAAAATTGAATGAACTGCAGATGCTGCAAGTCGGGAACAAAAACAGAAGTTGCTGGAAAAGCTCAGCAGGTCTGGCAGCATTCGTGAAGAAAAATCAGAGTTAACGTTTTGGGTCTGGTGACCCTTCCTCAGCGAAGTTTGATAGTTTTTCTTCCTAAAAAATTTAGTCACACATTCAGTCTTTTCATTCAAACCATAAAATGTATATACTCAAAAAAGTGTTATGGCTTCCAAAGCTCGAAATTTAAATCCTGTTGGGACATTCTACCCCATTTCTGCATTTGATGCACAAACATATATTGACAAAGCATTGCTATATTCATCAAGAGAATTAAGACCAGTCATTAGCTTCTAATTTTATTCTGGGCAATTCCAGTAACAACTAGTCTATCTTAGTTTTGCCAGAAGACAACATGTACACAACTTCCTGATGCCAATTTGAAACAAGTACAAACCCGTGAAGACTGCAGTTCTAAACTGTAATATTTACACAATTTGAACAAGTTTAAAAGACATGATCAAGAATATATAACCTTTTCCATGTTTGAGAACCATTGATAATCTATGATGTCTATATTCATCCTGTTTATGCCATCTAAAGCAAAGTACAGTTGTTACGGTTATCAGTTTCCATTGCTGGAACTAGGGACAGCACCAACTAGCGCTCCAAGTTAACTTTGATTTGGTCACGAAGTACTGGAAGAAGTGTGAAAATTTGCAAACCTAGCTGTTTAATATGCAAGCACTTTATTCCACCTACCTAAGGAAATCTGAATGCTCTATTTCAAACCATGCCTTGAACAAACACTATCGAACAGTGCAAGAGTTGATGATCTACTTTGTCAAATTCTTGATCACATCATTTTACTACATGGAAGGACACTAAAGCAAATCAATTGACTGACAATAACTGGGCATCAATGGCTCCGAGCAACTTCCTTGCTCAACAAACTAGCTGCACATAATGTGTGGTTTAAGATAATTAGTGATAGACAATCAGCAGAACAGAAAGGATCTCCAAAAGCACATAAAACTGAGATATTAGTTACTGTACTTACTTGGTGTGAAAGCAAATCTGTGTTTGCATAGTTCACAGTATTCTTTTCTGCTGTGTTTGAGCCACTGAACTAAACTGGAAAAAATTGAAAAATATTAGTACAGTACTGTCAAACATGACATGTACTTTTCTTTTTACAAAAAAAAAACAAGATAGGTTCTCTCATAGCATAATAAAACACAAGCAGTATTATTCCCACATACACTTTTTAATAAAGTTTGTTTTAATTTTTGTTCAATGATTCCTCACAGTATGCCAATATAGTATGCACTAACTACCATATTCAAGCAGATATTTAACAGAGTATAATTTAGTTTCATATCCAGCAGTTGCAACTTCTATAAACAGCTGCATATCATTACTATATCCAAATAACCCGATCTACAAAGCCACCATTGATTTATTTGAGACTGATTTGGTCTCTTGATATCAATTTGTTTTTAAAAAATTTGTTCATGGGATACGGGCATAGCTGTACAGGCCAACAATTTTTGCCCATCCCTAATTGCCCTCAAAAGTGATGGTGAGCTATTTTCTTGAACCCCTGCTGTCCACATAAGGTAGGCACACCCAGTGCTTTTGGAAAAGGAGTTCAGCATTTGACCCAGTGATAGTGAAGGAATGGTGACACAGTCACAAATCAGTCTGGTAAACCTTCACGGCACTCGCTCCATAACTCATACATCCTTCCTTTAAAAAGAGACCAAATTGCCCACAATAATCCTGGTGTAGTCTCATCAAGGCTCTAAACAATTTCATTAAGACAACCCAACTCCAGTCCTCAAATCCTCTTGCTATGAAGGCAACATATCATTTGCGCTCTTCACCACCTGATGCACCTGCATGTTTATATTTAATGACTGGTGTACAAGGACACCCAGGTCTGCTTGCACCTCCCTCCCCCCAATCTTTTCCAATCTATCACCATTCAAAAATAATCTGCCTTTCCTTTTGCAACCAAATGTGGATAACCTCGCATTTGTCCACATTATGTTTCATGTATTTGCTCACTCACTTAACTTGCCCAAATCACGTCAAAGCACCTCTCCACCTTCATCACAGTTCACACTCACACTAGCTTTGGGTAGTCTGCAACCTTGAAATGAAGTTAGGAGTTAAGCAGACTGTAGCATAACCCAAAAGGAGTGCCAGTGAGTATATTACTAAGTGAGTGCTATTTGATTACACTGTCAAAAAACCCTTCCATTACTTTAATGATGTTCAAGGATGGGTGTACCTGGACAATTTTTTACATTGTCCAGGAGCAGAGCCAAGCCCGGAGCCCAATCTTCAGTGCTACTGCCAGAATCTTATCAACACCTTTGCCTTTGCAGTATTCAGTGCTTTAGTTATCATAAGGAGTGAAACAAATCTGCTAAAGGCTGGTATCTGTGATGCTGTTGCCCTCAGAAGGAAGCCATGATAGGTCATCCACTTGGCACTTCTGGCTGAATATTAATGCAAATATTTCCACCTTGTCTTTTGTGCTGATATGCTGACTCTCCCATCATTGCGAATGGGTTTATTTGTTCAGTTGCCACCTCCTGTGAGCTGCTTAATTATCTTAGATGTGATCTGCTGGTTAAGGGATCACAGCTCTATCAATTGCATGTTGCTACTACTGTTCGTCATGTAAACAATCCGGCATTGCACTGTCACCAGATTTTTTTTTTTGAAAAGGTATGCCTGGTGCTGAAGCCGGCATGTCCTCCTACCTGTTTCATTAAGCCAGGTGTGGTCCCCTAGTGTGATGGTAACAGTAAGGTGGGGGGTATACCAGGTAATGAGGTTAGAGATTGTGGTTGAATACTACTCTGTTAATCACCCCAACCCCTCATGGGTGCCCAGTTTTTGGTGTTGCTAGATCTGATCAAAATCTAATTCATTTAGTCGGTTGTTAGTGCCACATAACATGATAAAGGGTATCCGATTGATAAATGGTCTTCATCTCCATCAGGATTGTCAATGGTGACTCTTAACAGAACTGTCAACAATAGGCAGATTGGCAAAGACTTGTAAAGTCGGTTTTGTCCTCTTGTTAGTCCCTCACAACCTTGTACGTATCCCATTGAGCAGCTATGTCTTTTAGAATCTGGCTAGCTTGGTCAGCAGTGGTGCCACCAACACATTCTTGACAATGGACATATGAAGTTGCTCCACTCCAGAGAGCAATATGTGTCCTTGTTATCCTCAATGCATCTTCCAGTTTGTGTTCAACATGGAAGAGTACTCATTATCAGCTGAGATGGGCAGTGAGTGGTCATCAGCCAGAGGTTTCCTTGTCCAAGTTTGATCTGATGCTTAAGAATTCAGGGGGTTCAGAATTAAAATGTTGTAAATTCCCAGGACAACTCCCTCCTGAAGTACCACAACCTCTGGTGGGCCTACCCAGTCAGTGGTACTGCACATATCCAAGGATGGTGATGATAACATTTGGGATATTTTATGTGAGGTGAGATTCCATAAGTATGATTATGTTAGGCTGCTGCTTGACTGGTCTGTGGGATGGCTCTCCCAATTTTGGCACAACCTTCAAATGTTAGTAAGGAAGACACTGCAAGGTCAGAACAGGAAATGTAAAAGAAAAACAGGCATTCCTACTTAGAGGAGACAATCCCACATTAGTAAGACAGGATCTTAGAAGGCTCAAGATATAGGATCAGTTTGGGTGGAGCTAGGAAACAGCAAGGGGAAGCCAGTGTTGGTGGGAGTTGTTAACAGAACACTAAACTGCAGTGCTAATGTTTGACACAACTCACTTCAGTACGTAACTTGGGTAAAAAAGAAATAAATAATGAATTGAGTCTTTACACACACACACACACACACACACACACACACACACACACACACACACACACACACACACACACACACACACACACAGGGTTAACCAATTTTGCACAATTGCGGTACAGTACAAATTCCTAGAGTGTGCATAAGATGGGTTTCTGGAACCATCTATGGATTGGACAATTTTGGATTTAGTGTTGAGAAAGGACTAATAGCATTGCTGCAAAGGAACCTTGGGAAATAGTAATCATATTATGGGAGAATTTTACACAAATGTGGCATTGTTCATTTTGAAACTAGGGTCTTAAACCTGAGCAAAGAAAATTATATCAGGTATGAAGGACAAGTTGGCTATCAATGATTCACAAAGTTGGCAAAGATTTGCCAGTTGACAGGTAATGGCTAGTGTTTGAATAAATTTTACAATGTCTGCAACTAATAACATTTCTCCCAAGCTCAAATACCCCAGAGAAACGTGAATCAACCATGGTTTGTGAAATAAGTTCAAGACTGCATTACATCAAAGGAAGTGGCTTTTAAGAATGCTAGAGATAGCTCAAAACCTGAGGATTAGGAGAAATTTTGGTCCCAAAGGATGAAGAAACTGAAACAGTAAGGGAAGAGAAGAATGTAAGCAACCCCTTCCCCCACACCAAAAACACTGCATCACTTGACTTGTCATCTTGTACACAATCTTCTTCTCATAGCATCCTACCCACTTAGCATCTCGTCCCTTAGCCAACTGGCTGGCACCCTACTTGCGTAGCATGCAATACTCAGCTAGCACCCTACTTACTGGTATTCTATATCATTCTCCCCTGCTCCTATATGTACCTCATACACTTACGGCTTGACAGTAGCTGTCAAAGTGACTGCCAGCGCCTTTAAATTTCAGAATACGCAGCTGATTGTCTTGAAAAGGGTCAGAATTCACTGTCCTCTGTACAAAGAATGAATTGTCAAAATGGAAATACAGCTCTGCATGAGGTGGCCCTGAGTAAAGTCTCCTCTCAGAAACACAAAATTGTCTTCGCTCGTAAAAGAAGGGCCAGATTGACAATCTGCTCGAGATTGCCACTCCTCAGAAAATTGGGCCCCATTATCTCTTTGTCACTGCTTGCCCCCATCTCAGTTCTCAGCTTGTTTCAGTTTGTAGTATTCCCACTCAGACTAGAAATTTATAGGTTTACTCTTCCCTACAAACTTGAGTACATACTCCAGATGGATGCTTTAAAGTGGTATTAAGCAAGTGCTACAATGTTAGAGATTGTGACACATATTAACAAACAGTGGAATTTTCTAGCTGGTACCTTTTCAGCAGCACAGGTTGTGTTGAATGGCTTTCCTATAAAGTATTATCGTTTTACTTCTCCTAGGTTCAGAAAGAGGATTTTTGGCGGGGGGGGGAAGAAGAGGGGAAGAAAATTCCAGACCAGCAACAAGTCAAATATTTAACTAGAAGATACAAAGGATTAATCTTTCTTCTCAGATACTGATACAGTTGCTATACATGTCTAGTTCTTTTTTGTTTTACATTTCCGATATTTAGTTTTAAATTAAGTTCTTCCATTTAATGTCAATTATTCAAGTGCTTCAGTCATTAGATAAACACAAAATACTTTGAATCACTTTGGAACCGTCCAATATTCATGTTTTAGCTTCCCATCTCCACTGCAAATGGCTAGGTTTTAATTAACTACACTCATATTTCAAAAAGTTAGGTAGCACAATATAACTGAGATAATGATTTATATGACTGTATTCAAGACAGACAATATGGGCAGAAAGTTGTTTCTCGTTGTAATGTTTTTTACACCAATCTATCAAACAGTATTTTGCAAAACAGTTAAAACCTATTACACAACAAAACTTACCACTCTTGATGGATAAATTTGATACTGCCAGTGCACACACAAGGGTGGTAAAGTGGCTTGTCTGGGGTTCCTTCTGAACGACATACTCGGCATATATCTGTACGGAGAAGAAAGACATTATAAGATTGATGTTTTAGTAAACTCTTACACCATCACTTATTCTGAAAGTTCAAACTGAATGAATTTACTAAGTTGCAAATACTGAAGAATCCCAACTAACATTCAAAGTGCAGAAAAATATTGTTTTATAAAAAGACTCTTATTTAGAATGACTCAAGCAGTGCAGGACATATAAATAAGCTGTTGCAGATTTACAGTAAGAATTTTCCAAAACTCATCCTTCTACTTCCAACCACATTCAGGTACACCATCACTGCGTAACATCGCCTGAAGTCACTGTGAAATAAAGTATGTGGGCTGAAGTATGTGAGATTGAAGGTAAATCAAGAAGAAACAAAAGTACTGGATTTCTAACTGTGCTACCTGCCCATAATGCTCATTCTACTGCACTGTTGATCAAATATGTTGCACAGCTAGTAACAGCCAAGTATTACTGATACTTTACACTATCAAAATATGCCAACTGCAGAGTCTCAGTAAACAGATTAAACAAAGCTCCACTCATCTCTTTTCAGATGCAAGAAAAAGATGAAACTATGCTCACTTTCTAATGACACCAGAGTGATATTGACAGATTGTAACATTAGAAAATGCTTTGAATATAAACTTTAAAATAATGAGCTTTACACTAATTGCAATTACATGCCACATAACAGTATCACAAATGTTGATAAGGCTTCTTATTGGCTGGGATATTATATCACAGGAAGCTATCTGATCATTGCTTTTGATAGATGAGAATTATGTTGCAATTCCACCGCAGTGATAGCCCAACTGCAGCCTAACACTCAACTGAGCATCACCAGATCTCACAATTTTTTCACATAATGCTTCTAAACAACTAAGACGACTTCCTCAATAGCTATCACAACTTCAATTACTGGATTTAAAACTTTACAACAAGAAAACACCCACCAACGCTTGCACTGATCTCTCTTCATTCTGTTGACTTTTCAGATTATAGCTCAGGGAAGCAAAACAAGAAATGGCACAAAATGTAAACCCATTCTACAATTTTATGAATTTGAGTTTCATCATCAGCATTTGTGCTCTGATCCTCAACTCGGTTGTCTTTCTACGTGTTTCTTCTGATTCCTTTCAATTATAAATAACTTCCTTCAGTTTTCACGTCACCTACACAGTTAATCTGTCTCACCTTTTTCTTTGAAATCTTTCTTCCAAGATCACAAGACAGTTTCCACTGAG